ATGAAGACAATTTTCTTATAGATGAGGATGCAGAACAAATTGTGGCTCAATTTTTTAGGGCTCCAGTCCCCTAAGTCTATTTATTTTAGATCTTTTTAAATTGTTGGTAGGTATTATTCACTTCATTTGTATGTTGTTATTAATTATCTTGTGATTTGTTTTTCTATACATTTTAGCATGTATTTGTTCGCTACATCTTACAAAGGATGACTTTGAAATACTTGTACAACAAAGGTACTTTCCTAAAGACTGGCCGAAATTTGAAACCGATTGCAGTTCCTACAGAAAATTTCCAGTAAAAAAAAGCATTTTTCTGCATGCAGAATAACAGTAAAATAGGTTAACAAAGCTGGACAAACCTTTGTCTTAGATTTTTTAATATTTCAGGGCAATAGTGTTAACAGCAGACCACAACAAGAACAACCAAAGTATAGTAATCAAGCAAAATATTTCAGTATCTCCAGAATTATAAACTTATGAAAACTATAATAGTAAACATGTATGGCTTCGAATAGAAAATTACCCAAATTAGCATGTCTAGTGAATATTACATTTAAAAATATATTTTTTATCAAAACTTTTGGGCTTCTACTTCAATAATAACCATATATAGAAATACATATGCATTTTATAGTATTAAGTTAGATTCAGATCAAATGAACCCACAATTTATAAACATTAAACTAAAATAAACCAATTTCAAATAACTGTTTTTTATTTAAATAAAACATGTTAAATACCTATATGTTCTTATTAAATACATAAATTAGTCTCAACCACACACATTTTGTTTGTTTTTACTTCTAGTGGCGAAGTCTACATTTAAAAGTGACTACTAATTATTCACAGTCTTTCAAGTTTATTATTTAAGAAGACCAGCTACTACAAAATATCCTATTGGCGATAACTAATTTCTCTTTAATAATGGTTTTGCATATATCAACATTTTACAGCACTTTGTTTATATGAGACATCTACCTAGCTCTTTTAATTAAATCACACTATGAAAGATTTAAATCCTAGATTTACAGCATCCAGTTTTGACTGTTTTGAGATAGATGAGAGGAGTGCAGTCAAATGCAGTTTCAAAGATAATTTTCACAGGAACTCTTATTTACCGCAGCACAAACGCATGTACCTATTCGTGTATGTAACATAAAAATAAAGTGGAGATAAATTGCATAATTTGGTATATTAAAAAGCACAAAATGTTTTTAGTTTTTATTCCACTACGAGGAAAACATCGGTTCATTCCACTTGTACCATATTGACATTGTGCACGTTAAAAGTAGATCTATCTCTGTTTTTATAATACTATTATTGCAGGATAAACGATAACTGTGGATTACGCCAAACGAACATCAGAAAAGTGTTTCCAACTTAAGCTGACTACTATTTCCGCGCTAGCACATACTTTGATTACTATAAGGTGCAAGAGAGAGGTCCGACACGCCCAACATAGGGCGCGGCCATTTTGATTCCTATGCCACAGTTTATAGCTAAAGAATCAGATCACTCACTCTGCGTCGGCACTTTTGATCTCAGTGTTCCAGTTTATACACTGCGCAACTCGGATAATACAATATATGACAACCGCCTATAATAAAACAGCAGTCTTTTGCGTATCCTGAATTTGTATCCCTGGAGTGGATGTTATTTTGGAAATTTCAACTGATTCTTTAGCAATAACCTGTGACTCCAAAAATAATATTCACTGACACTGACAGCAGAAAGCAAAATATCAGGTGACTTTTAATCATCCGCTTCTGCTTCCGGAATTGTCGGTTTAGTCGTTTTAACCTGTCAGATTAAAACAAGAAAACCGACAATTCGGAAGCAGAAGCGGATGAATAAAACGCACCTATTAAAAATATTGCGCCAAAATGTAGGCAACACGTAATAAGGGATCAAAATGGCGAAGTTTTCTATCTCCTTTTAAAAGGCACTCAGAAAGCTGCGCAGTGCGACCATTCTCCGTATAGTAAAAGAAAAAGTAAGTGCGCGCTAGTCAGTCACCCCCCTCATCCATATCCTGGGTCTATATCGCGACCCCCTTAGAGGGGAAAGCCCACTCACGCGATATGTCGCGCGCGACTGATCGCGCGCGGCAATACTTTTGATGTTTTTAAATGACTCAAAGCCCATTAACGCGGTTCTGTCGCGTGGTCGCGTGGTCATTTAAAAACATCAAAAGTATTGTCGCGCGCGACATGTCGCGTGAGTGGGCTTTCCCTCTTAGATCTACCAGCCCTGGTTTAAATGTATCATATGCCGCGTTTGAGAATCCACATCGGATGCATCTGAGATGTTGTGAATTTTTTATCACGTGATAGAGAACTAGATCTGAATGTAGATGTAATAAACAAACGCTCTAGACTTTATTTCGTCACGTGATAAAATGTCAATAACAAGTTAGAAGTTTATACTTATTAAATTTGACTTTTGAGACTACAAATCAACCTAAATTTGAAATACAAACAAAAATTAAACAAACTCATCACTTTTATATTCATGCTAGCATAAACAAAGGATAAATTGACAAATAAGGCTTCAATACCAAACCTAACTATTTTCCTGGATTTAGCCAAGGCCTTCGATACTGTACATCACGAACAGTTATTGCTGGCCTTGGAAGATGCAGGAATACGGGGAACGGCATTAAAGCTTTTTGAAGACTACCTTAATGACCGATATCAACAAGTTAAAGTAAAAGATGAGTTAAGCGAAAGCAAATTGATTTAAACTGGTGTACCACACGGGACAGCTTGGTCCTGTACTATTTTCAATATATGTAAATAACTTGTATATTCAAAAGACTGCAGGCCAAATTGTAAGCTTTGCTAATGACACGGCTATTTTTTACGAAGCAGATACCTGGGAAGAATTAAAATATAAAACAGAAAATGACTTAAAAAAAAATATAGATTGGTTCACTCATAAAAAGCTTAGTATAAACTACAATAAATCATTTTTTTGCCTTTTGCAAGCTATACTAACAGCTTACCAGACTATAATAAAATTAGTATTAATTATAACAATCAGGAAAGTACCTATACCTTACAAAAACAAAATAAAATTAAATACTTAGGTGTTACTCTAGACTGCCACTTACGATGGGATAAACATGTAAATAATCTAACCAATACCTTAAGAATGTTGCTCTTCAAATTTAAATTCCTTAAAAATATACTCATCTTAAAATTATTTACTTCGCACTTGTTCAAAGCAGACTTCAATACTCCGTTATCTGTTGGGGGGGCTACCACAAAAAATCATCTGAATAAACTGGAAATACTTCAAAAAAGAGTACTTAAAAATCATATACAGTAAAAAAACTTAAAATTATGGATATCAGACAGTTATATATTTATGCAGTTTTAATGTACACTTACAAAGATATTTTACAAAAAAATACCTTTAACTATCAAACAAGAGGTAAAAATACAGGAACAGTACAAACTCACCTTGTTAATAAGTCAACTTTACAGAAATTTTTCTTATATTTAAGTGGAAAAATATCTAATTTCCTTCCCGAAATGTACAAAATATATTTGCTTACAATAAACTCATTTCAACTAATCAAAACTTTAATAAGACAATATATTGTAAATGCAGACAGAAAAACTTTGAGAGCATTGATTGAATAATATGTGGGTACGTCAGCAAAATGTGATAAAACTATTTTATGTATTTTTTAAAATTTTATATATTTTTTAAAATTTTATGTATTTTTAACATTTTATGTATTTTTTACATTTTATGTATTTTTTAACATTTGATGTATTTTTTAACATTTATGTATTCATTAACATTTTATATATATTTTTTAACATTTTACTAAATACAAAAAAAAAAAAAAAAAGAAAAGAAAAAAAATTGTTATTTTTATATATGAAGAGTCATAAATTATAAAAGAACCTAAATAGTTCATATTAATTTTTGTAATTACTTAAGTCACATTATATTCTATTATATATATTTTTAAAATCTTTTTATATAATTTATTAACATTAAAGGTCTCTGCCCATTACACCTTACCATACTAGGATCGTAACCGTATCGAAACATACAAACAAATATTCTTTGCATGTTTTGATATGCGACAATGCTCACTAGACCGTTCCGTCACCGGCCAACACCGTAGCGTGCCATGACAGGACCGTCAACAATTTCACAGCGAGAATATTTTGCAGGTTCCTACACGGACCGTCCATAGCAAGCTATGTTGTAGGTGAGGATAAAACGCTGCTGATTCGCTGCAGTGGGCATACTAGTGACCGGAGTGCTTTCTTTCGTGCCTGATACGTTCCTGTTATGGTTATGGTATGGTACGCTGTAGTGGGCAGAGAGCTTTATGCACTATATATTTAAATCATGTATAGTAAAAGTAAATAATTCGGCAGCCTATGCGCAACCATTAGGTCAAAAATAGGCTACCAGGTTATCTACATATAACATTATCCTTTGTATAAATAATTATTGTACTAATAAAAGTATTTATTTATTTATACTTTCTGGCATGGAACGAACATCTCATTTCAAATCGAGATGAAAAAAATGTAATCTGAACAGGTACATCTGGGATAAACAAACGCAGATGTAGATGTAGTAGATGTGTCTGATGTGGATAAAAAACGCTCGAGATGTAAAAATGCATCCGATGTGGATTCTCAAACGCGGCAATAATAGCTTGAAAACTTGTAGAAATGCCAAGAATAACAAATTGATAGTTTTCTTTATTTAGTACAGTGTACGTGGCGCCCTCTTTATCGTACTTCAAAATTCGTAATACACTTATCCCAAAAATACAACCGTACCAAATTTCAAGTGAATTCTTTAAATAGTAATTAAATTATTGAATAAAATAAACTACTTTTACACCTATGTTTAAAATATTTACCATTTCTTATAAAACTCACTGTATATTTAAAATTAACCAACGCTCCACTAATTACCAAGACCGCATTTTCGCATAAATAAATAACGTATATTTTTTACAGAAAATGTATCATCAGAAGTCCTACATGACACTAAAGAAATCGAATACAAATCTAACAAATTTTCGATTGGTTTTCATCTACTTCTACCAGTGGCCGGACTAGGATTACTCATACTAGGCAGAAGGCACATCTTCGACAAAATATTACTGCAACTCGATAGAAAATATTTAACTGGTAAGTCATTTAAAACTCTTATGGGACATTTCGTTGATAAAAAAAATGCCGAGTTTTATAAACCAACCTGGTAAGATTAAAAAATAACATTTATATAGCGAATAAACAACATCGGCTAAAAATTGGATTCTTGTGGCACATCAGATTTCTCTGTTAAAATGGCAATTTTGCTATACCTATATCGTAGTGCTAGTCAACTTGAAAGAATGTAATTTCGATAATAATTACTTTTATTGTCGTAATTCTAATTAACTTTTTAATTGCTTAAAATAATAATGTTATTTTTTGTAGTTCGTTGTGATTTGTATATAAAAACTTCTGTGAATGTTTTTAATGTTAATTCTCAACTTTTTTTTTAATATTTGTTTTGTAAGATGTCCTTGTATTGTTCTACAGTAAAAAAATCACGTTTTTCAGAAGTTGTCTGTTAATTACAAATATCTACGCCCCTGACAACTTTAAGATAAAGAAAATAGACGAAATATGTAACATAACTATAAGCAAAAATTATTAAAATGCTATGAAATTAATTAACGATTCGGACTGTGAAAGTTAATAAAAATTCATCGCAAAAGAGTGCACATCAAGGTTAGCCGCTATTTGTATTGGTCAGGAAAATGTTTTTCGCTCGTTACATAGCTTTTTCATGTTATACGACAATTGTTATCTTTAATACAAAAAAAGACTGTAATTAGACGATTCAAAGTTTGAAATAATTGTTTGTTTAAAAAGGTTCGGTAAACATTTTTAATGTAGATGTAAGAAATTAGATGCGTAAATTTAAATATTTTCAAATTTAAATTTAATTAAAATACTGGTCTGGTACAAAACAATATATCAGTATATCACATGCTGTTTTATTACATTTTATGCGGATATCAATCATTGTAAATGTATAAAATAACTTCATCTCTACCAAATATTGCTATTTCGTTAAGAATCCTACTTACTTTACCTGTGTCTGTATCTTCTGGTGAGAGATCCTTCGCAAAATTAAAAATCATGTTACAAGAAATCTGGTTTAGCAATATTAGCTATAAAGCAAGAGATCCTCGATAAAATTGATTTTGACAAAATTATAAAATCATTCTGCATCTGTAACGTGTGGAAAGTGGGTTACCCCCACGGCACTTAGGCCTCATTAGGCCCATTGTATATCCTCCTAAGAAGATAGGCACCTCCTAGCTCGTGAGCCAGCCTACAGATTTAATGTAGTTGACAACGTCGCCAAGAGGTGCTTCTCTTATATCGGCCAGTGTTAGCCGATACTCGCCGAATACAAATCTTCTAATAAATGAAAGCGTCAGGCAATCATGAAGGATATGCTCAATGGTCTCATCTTCTTGTTCGCACCTGCAGGGTGCGAATTATGACAGCCCCATTACATATAGATGCTTCCGTACTTGGCAATGACAAGTCAGAATACCTGTGATCAGGCGCAGATTCTGTCTAGTCATCGTCAAGTATTTGTTTGCTGCAGTGTTGTCAGGATAACTTAAGAGCTCCCTGGCAACTCTGCAGTTTCTTGTTTCATTCCATCTTGAATTTCACAAGAGAATGTTCTTTAATTAGGTCTGTCACTACCGGTTATATTTCGATGTGGCGTGACCTTTGATCCATCTTAAGGTGACCACATTGTTGATGGATACTTCGGCCAAAGCTTCGTGACATTCTAGAACTGTTCTATTATAACTTTATATGGCCTATGGCAGATATATCTCGGTGAGATGGAGTCCATGTCTGCTGGAAGCAGTGGGAGCGTATCGAGCACCTCCTGCCAAAAAGCGACATCTCGTTTCACCAGATCTTACATCAGGTTCTATTCCAATCGTGCGGAGGCGTGTTATTATCGTCAGAGCAACTTCGTTGATGTAAATATCAAGGGGAGTGAGACTAAGAATGACTTCCATGGCTCTAGTTGGTGTTGTTTTTATGGCTCCTGTTATGTTGAGACATGCTGCTCTTTGAATTTGTTCTAGTTTACGGATAGCTGTTAATTTTTGGGTTTTCAGTACCCAGATAACTGCATCGTATGTTAGCATAGTTATAAAAACATTTTCAGCATTTAAATCCATAAAAAAAACTTATTTAACTTGTTGGGCCCTGCCTATTTATAGATATATAATTTTAAGATGCATTGGAATACAGAATTTTTGCAAGAAAAAAATGTAAATTTGAAGTACTTGCTTACTACAGATTTTCTAAATATCCTGGATAATAAAAATATTTACGATATCAGCACTATTGACCTACATAAATCGTCTACGCAAAAGAATTTCAAAATGTTACAAAATAATCATTATTCTTAGCTAAACTTAATAAAGACTCACCATTTGAAGCAACTCATTCCTCCTAAAACAACCTACAAAAATGTGAATAGAAATAAAATGAACCATACATTTAGTTTACGGAAAAAGCTAAATTTAAATAAAAAGCCTTACCATGTAAAAGTGCTCATTCCTTCTTCACTCTCTAGCAGATCTGTTGTTCCACTATTTCTTATCGCTTCTCCACAATATACATTATTTCCAGTAGATTTTTCCGATTAAAGCACGTCCGGATGAAACTTCTATTCCCGACGACATTAATGATTATCGTATCATGTTCAATCCTATATCAGCTCTTTGATACGTCAGTTTTTTCAAACTAGATTTATCTTCGGTCTGTACATCTGCAACCTTGTTCATTTGATTTTAGAAGGTACATCTCAAAACAGTATAGAGAAAATCAATATACATTAAAGGACATACATCCTCAGATTAAACGGCTTTATTGTCAGAGGTGAAATGAACATGAGCTTATATCGTTGATGTCGTGCTACCGATTAACTTAAGGAATTTGCGGCGATTTTAACTTGTTTTTTCGGAAATACGCTGAAAATAAAAACTATAATTAAAAAAACATTTTTAAAATGTCAGAAGAGAAAGTTACAAATAGAAGGAACCTTGCTACAAGAATCGGGCAGCTCCATTTTTGTTAACTTAAAAAAATCAAAAAAAGTTTTTTTTCTTCTAATTTTGATACATAAAGTGACATTTTTTTGTAATCGCAGCAAGTGCCAAAATAATCTATTTTGCGCAACCGAAAAAATAAGCTTTACAAAACTTTTAAGAGAACTCGTCGGGATTCTGATTACATTTTGTATTCCAATAAGCGACGCGAAGTTAAATACCACATTGAATGGAATGACTTGACATTCATTACCGACACAGAACATCTTTTTTCTCATAATATTAAGCATTTATGGACATTCATAAGGAATCTAAAACGTGATAACGGTCTCCCAAATCCAATATTGAATTTACTAATCCTAACGAAATAGCCAATGCTTTTGCTCATCACTTCTAATCTTGCTACAATACTGTCAACTTCGCAAATTCCGCACTTCCCACTCCAGTCACTTTTGCCTCAACTTTAATTACTCATACCTTTACTCCCCAGGAAGTTATTTCTAAAATTAACTTGATCTCAATAAAAGTGCGGGTCCCTCCGATTTTGTTGAGGAAATGTTGTGATGCGTTTTCTGTTCTCCTTAGTCAAATTTTCCAGATATATGGAAATTTTACAGTCTAATTCCAATTCTGAAGTCGGGTGATAAATCTAATATAAAAAACTATAGGGGTATATCTATTATATCCACAATTCCCAAATTATTTGAATCAATTCTTACTGATGAAATAGCTGCTTCCTTCAAATCTTATATCTCCCCCTTTCAGCATGGTTTTTATCAGGGGCGTTCTACCGCTACTAACCTTTGTTGTTTCCAGGACTATCTATTAACCTCTGTGGAAGCTGGGCACCAGGTAGATGCAATTTACACCGATCTGTCGAAGGCCTTTGATAGTGTTTCTCATCAACTGCTTTTAAAAAAACTCTCCGAAATATGTATTGCTGGTAACTATCTCAATTGGATAAAATCGTATCTAACTAATCGCTTCCAACAAGTTTCTATTCATAATCTTACACCACGGAAAGTATCAGTTTCATCAGGCGTTCCGCAAGGCTCACCCTTGGTCCTGTCCTGTTTTCACTTTTTATTAACGACGTAACTTCCTGCTTTTTAAATAGTACTTGTCTTCTATATGCAGATGACTTGAAATTTTTCAGCACAGTCACACATAACACCTGCCCTTCAAGGTGATCTAGAAAGACTAAACGAGTGGTGCAAGGTGAACCATCTCTCATTAAATACCATTAAATGCAAGACCATCCAGTTTACTAGAGCGTTAACCCCTTCTCTAAATCAATACAAAATCGATAATACTGTACTGCAAAATGTCACATCTGCGAATGATCTAGGGGTGATATTTGATATGAAACTGTCCTTTCGAGAACATATTGATTCCATTATTTGTAAAGCTTTCCGGATGCTAGGCTTTATTAAAAGAAATACTCAACATATGTATGATACTAAAGCAATTTTAACATTATTTAACAGCCTTGTTAGAAGCATTCTTGAATATTGCTCTGTCGTATGGCATCATAATTGCACCTGCCACATAGAACGAGTTCAGCGTAAATTCACTATTTGCTGTTTAAACATCTTTCCCTACCAAAACGTTGGTTACGAAAGTAGACTGCTTTTATGTGGTATGTAAAGTCTAGAAATCAGAAGAAGACATGTACTAGTTCTGTTTCTGTTTAAATTAATTAACAATAAAATTGACTGTAGCGCCCTTTTACAATTAATTAGCTTTTTAGCACCTACTCGACGTACACGTCATACTTTATTGTTTTTCATCAGAAGACATAGAACCAACTATGGACAAAGATCATTTATTGACCGTATATGCCACATTTACAATAAGCTTTACTCCGACTGTGACCTATTTAACACAACGTTGTATGTAATTTAAAACTTTCAAAATAATTTTTTTTTGAGCTTTAATATTTAAACCTATTTCTATGTATGTGATTTTGTGAATGTAATATTTTTGTGTAGGTATTCTACATATATATATTTATTGTTAATTTTTTTTAACTCTGTGTACCATTTAGAA